ATTCTTTTTTTTCTTCAACTTTTATTTTAAGTTCAGGGGGTACATGTGCAGGATGTGCAGGTTTGTTACATAGGTAAACGTGTGCCATGGTGGTTTACTGCACAGATCGTTCCAACACCCAGGTATTAAGCCCAGCGTCCATTAGCTATTCTTCCTGATGCTTTCCCCCCAACCACAGGTGCCCAGTGTGTGTTATTCTCCACCATGTGTCCATATGTGGAAAATGTAATATGTATTCTTAACCTGTCAATATCTAAAGTTAATCTGTATGTTTGCTGTTTTCCTAAACAGTTGCACACTTTAGAACAATTTAACTCCATTCATCCCCTTCCAGCTCTCATCTACTTTAATTCCATATTGTTTTTTCTTCTCAATAGATATATTATTTTATAGCCAATATTTGTCTTTACATTTACATTTGGTCACATGCTTAGCACCTTATTTGTTTATTATTTTCATTCTTTTATGCATGTCAGAACTTTCATCTGGAATCATCTTCCTTCTGCTTAAAATACATTCTTTCAGATTGCTCTTAGCGAAAACTTAGAAGTTGATGGCAAATTCAGTTTTTTAAATCTTGAAAATGGCTTTATTTTATCCTCTTTCAAATATAATGTTACCGAGTCAGAAAATTCTGGAATGGCAGTTATTTCCTCCCAGCACATTGAAGATTCTATTCCATTTCCAGTGTCCATTGTTGCTTTTGAGGAGTCAGCCATCAGTCTAACCACCATTCCTTTGCTGGTGATTTATTTTCTATCTGCTTGTAATTATCTGGTTTTCTGCCTCAATGTGTGTAGTGATTTATTTTTATTCCTTTTGCCTGAAATTCATTAGGTCTCCTTAATCTGAGAACTTGGGTTTTTGGGGTTTTTTTTTTAACAATTCTATAAAATTCTCACTTTTTATTTTGTTGAATGTTTTCCTATTCTCTCATGTCTTCTCCTGGAACTCTGATTAGACATATTTAGACCTTCTAATTCTAGCCCTTATGCCTCTTGACTTCCTCCTTCGTCACTTAGTTGCATTCTGGAAAATTTCCTCAGAGCCACATTTTGTTCAATAATCCTGGTTTAATCTGTTCCTGGACTCATCCACTAAACTTGTAACTTTAACGGCATTGTTTATTTCCTCTGATTTGTATTTCAGATCTGCTTGGTACTTACTCCAATTTTCAAGTTTATTTTATTTTCTAAAAGAATGTATATTTATATTCTTCATCCAATCATATTGTAGCCACTATGAGACAATAAACAAATCCACCCAACTCATCAAAACACAGCTGAGGATTACCAAATAAGGCAAACAAAAACCTAAATATGACAGATTAACTGTGCCGAATACAATGATGTAAGTTTACTATATATCAACCTCCTTGTACCCATCTCCTCACTTCAACAAATAACTCAGGGCCAAACTTCCAACTTCCTTCACCTATACTTCCACCCTCCTTCTCCCTGTCTGAACAAGACACCACTCCACAGACTGCAGGTTCTACGTCTATCATATGCGACTGCAATAGCTTGGTCGTGGTAGAAAAAAAAGAAGAAAAAAGTTGAAAGTCCTCTGAAAACCGTAGTGCTTATAATAGTCTTCCCAGCTACTGGCCATACTTAATATTAATCATTAACACTCTCAGTAGAGTGTCTCAGAGGTCAAAATGTCCCTTCTACTAGCTACAAGGAAGTTGGGATCTAATAAGTATTTATTTACAGATGCAGTCACTCAACAGCCTGAAATATCAGGGGCTCTAAATTCATGACTTTGTGTATGAACAAGGGTCAATAGGATCTTTATTCAGTCCTCGAGATATAACTCAGAAAAATGAATTGCTGTGAAAAACTCACTTGGTTTCCCGTGGTCACATTATAAGATCAAATAATCTACGAAAGTACAAAACTCAGTGACATACAGAAGCCAGCAAATTCTCTCGCCCTTACATAAACAGGTGGGAACCTTTCCAGTAGAATTTTTTCTCCTGCAACAAATTAGTAGATTGAATGACTATACCTCATAGTAACAACACTATTGTATCACGTTTTAGTTTAAATTTAAAACCTCAAAAACTTATCAAAACTAGCCAAAGATTTCTGGAATAAGAAATAGACAGTTATTTCTCAAAAAAAAAAAAAAAAATGGCTGGGCCAGTGCAGTGGCACTCACCTGCAATGCCAGCACTTTGGGAGGCTGAGATGGGCAGATCATGAGGTCAAGAGATCAAGACCAGGCTGGCCAACATGGTGAAACCCTGTCTCTACTAAAAATACAGAAATCAGCTAAGCGTGATGGTGCCCTCCTGTAATCCCAGTTACTCGGGAGGCTGAGGCAGGAGAATCGTGTGAACCCAGAAGGCGGAGCTTGCAGTGAGCCGAGATTGCGCCACTGCACTCCAGCCTAGTGACAGAGCCAGACTCTGTCTCAAAAAAATTGGCTGGACACAGGGGCTCACACCTGTAATCTCATCATTTTGGGAGGGTGGGGTGGGAGAATCACTTGAACTCAGGAGTTTGAGTCCAGCCTGGGCAACATAGTGGAATCCCGTTTCTGTCAAAAAATAAAAATAAAAATAATAAAAATAAAATAAAAATAAAAATTATCTAGGCATGGTGTGCATGCCTATAGTCCCAGCTACTTGGGAGGCTGAAGCAGGAGGATCACTTGAGCCTGGAAGGTCAAGGCTGCAGTGAGCTGTGATTGTGTCATGGCACTCCAGCCTGGGTAACACAGTGAGACCCTGTCACAAAATAAAAATAAAATTGAAAACAACTAAAAATGGGATTTTTAACTCTTTGATATAACCATAACTAGGTCCAGCCATAAGGAAGAATTGTCCTACAAAAGAGAACAAATATCATCCTGTTTAACAACCACACTTACGTTCTTTTCTAATTATAACGCTAACTATTGATTTAATAATGCTTCTGGCCAGGCACGGTGGCTCACGCCTGTAATCCCAGCACTTTGGGAGGCCAAGGTGGGCAGATCATGAGGTCAAGAGATCGAGACCATCCTGGCTAACACGGTGAAACCCCGTCTCTACTGAAAATACAAAAAAATTAGCTGGGCGAGGTGGCGGACCCCTGTAGTCCCAGGTACTCGGGAGGCTGAGGCAGGAGAATGGGGTGAACCCAGGAGGCAGAGCTTGCAGGGAGCCGAGATCGCAGCCACTGCACTCCAGCCTGGGCGACAAATAGAGACTGCGTCTCAAAAATCAATCAATAAATAAATAATGCTTCTACACACCTTGATCATGTGTTAGCATATGAAACTCTTGGCTGAGACCAACTTACGATAAAACGTGTGTAATTTAAATAGTATAATTTTCCAATGACTTTAATCTAACAATCTCCTCCTACCCCATTAATCAACACAAAAAGCAATTCATCTTTGAATATATGTGTAAAGAACATAGCTCATGTGTTTATAAAAAGTTCTTCTCTGCTACAGAGTTTAGCTGTGACATCTATTAACAAAGTAATTTATAACTCTAACAAGTTAGCAAGGTCTTCTTGCTACCAGTCCAGTCATTGGTGGTGAGTGCTCAGTACTGGCTGATGAATACATGAATGGATAAAAATGTAAGAGCTGTCCACACATATACCATAAAATGCATAAAGTAGATCCCGTTTTATCTCAATTTTTATTTCTGTGATATAACTGAGATAAAATCAAACACAATGTATTATTTTAAAGTATACTGTTCATAAGAGAGAAATAATGTGATCTGACCTTATTTTAGAAGAAAGTTGTCTGTAAAAAAATTTAAACTCAAAAGTAAAAAAGCCACTGGTTTCTAAAAGCTCAAAAAAAATTTTTTTAAGTGATTGGCTTTCAGAACAACAGCAACAACAAATAAGCCTCTAAAATAAGACAAGTAAATTCCAATTTTTTATTTTTGCATTTACTTGCTTGCTTGCTTAATTATATACAAATCTCAATTCCATTAAAGTATCGGGATGACAATTCATTAGATGTTTTTAGTGACTTTTCCAATCCCTTCTAATTAACTTGATTAAGGAAGTGATTTACTTGCTTCATGGGAGGTATGAATTCTCAGCCAGGGGGTTTGAATGAAGGGAAGCAAGTGACTCAGGCATTTATTGGGTGCTTACAATCAGATTCCCACCGGTGAGATCACGCCCATGTGTCTGGAGGTCCACACGCAAGCAGCTGCCTCCAGCCCAACCCTGGTTGCTGAGTGTAGTCCCAAGGCCCCCCCTGCCCCACTTCCTATACATACAGCCACTCCTGCTGTGATTGTGGGGACATACAAGGAAGATCAGGCTTCCGTGGAAGCTTCTGCAATTAAAAGCCACTGGGGATTCTAGAAGGAGCACCTGTAAGTAGATTCCAGATGGATGGGGCAAAGTCTGTCTCATGGTGGGTGTTAGGCTGGCCTTATACAAAAGAGGAGACCCATCCTGGTACCATGCCTGGTGCAAAGCACTGTGCGATTTATTCTAAGTGTCTTGGGAACAGGGCTTGAAGCCAGGCAGTGACTGGAAACCTAAAATGCATTATTTAGTCATAGAACATTAGAAATAGAAAGAAAATAACCTCCCAAATCATCTAGTCCATCACTCAGCTAAATTCATTTAATTCATATCCCCAAACTACATCTCCAAATGTACAATGGTTTCATTCCTGGTTTAGGGATTCGAGGTTTTGTGTTTGTACAAAATATATTAATAGTCTTATAAAATAAGATGTCCAAAATAGAATAAACTTAAAAGCCAAACACAAGTAAAGCATGAAACAGAGGTTCTGAAGAGCAACTCCTCAATACAAATAAACCATTGTCCTTTATCTCCATTGTGACTTTCAGTTATGTAGGTACATCTGCCTTTTTACATGCCTAAATTATACATGAGGATTATAAATATTCTTTATGTGTATGTTAGGATGAAAAAATCCTGCCAAGGCAGGTGCACGGGCTAAAAGAACACACCTTCCTGTTTCCTTTTGTTACCTGTTTAATTTAAAAAAAAAAAAAAAAAAAAGTTGCCCCTGATAAAAGCCTCCAATAAAAGCCTCTAGTGCTATTTTCTGGAATTGAATTAAACATATTAACATATTGTTATACAAAGGGGGGGGCGTGGAAGCAAGGCAAGGTGGACTGTGGTGCCAATCCTAGTGACATGTCAGCAGAGGAGGAGTTTCTCACCTGTGGACTTCATAAAAGGCTAGCTCAACACCCTCCATGAGACACACTCTGCCCCAACCATCCTGAAGCTACAGGTGCTCCCTCCTGGAATCTCCAATGGATTTCAGTCGCAGAAGCTTCCACAGAAGCCTCAGCAACTCCTTGCAGGCCTCTGTAGTCAGTACAGTGGGCACGCAGCGCCTCGGGATGACACCCAGCGTTTATGGGGGTGCTGGAGGCCGAGGCATCCGCATCTCCAACTCCAGACACACGGTGAACTATGGGAGCGACCTCACCGGCGGCGGGGACCTGTTTGTTGGCAATGAGAAAATGGCCATGCAGAACCTAAATGACCGTCTAGCGAGCTACCTAGAAAAGGTGCGGACCCTGGAGCAGTCCAACTCCAGACTTGAAGTGCAGATCAAGCAGTGGTACGAAACCAACGCCCCGAGGGCTGGTCGTGATTACAGCGCGTATTACAAACAAATTGAAGAGCTGCGAAATCAGGTGAGAGATGACGCCTGTGTTTCTGTTTCCTAGTCTGTGTTTAGCTGAAAGTTAAATCAAGAGGTTATCTATGTTAGGCAGGTCCAAATGGACGTTATAAAGCAAATTAGGCTAAAATGTTACATCTACAAAAATTCTTTCATCTACCTTTAGACTGTATAATAGGATGACCTTAAATCATGCTATTTTTAATGTTGAATATAATTATATACAAAATATGAACATTTTATCCTCCGGAATGTAATAAATCTTTGTCACAGCTTACCACATCAGGGCTAAATGTATAGTAGCAATCTTTCTGAAAAGAGCTAAAAATTAATTATGTGATAAATCTCTCTTAGTTTTTCATCTAGTCCTCAAGTTTTGAAACCCCAGTCAGTTCAAAGACTTGTCTCCTTTTATTTAAGTAAATATGATAAGGTGTGACTATTAGAATACTGTACCGCAGATTTAAATAACAAAGTGATTCTGGGTGGAAACAGTGTGGCAGGAACATGGGTCTTAATGGTGCCTGGATTTTTAAGTGCCCTGTTTAATAACATGACCATCAGCATCAAGCAGTTCAGAAACTAATTCTACGGTAATAAAATATTCTATTGCCCCCAATTCATGTTTATTGCAATCATATCACAACCTCCTCCTATGTCATCAAAAAAAGGGTGGAGCTCTGTATTTTATCAGTTGCATGGAATAAAAGCAGAAGACTTTGCTCCTAATTGAAAATTTCATATATGACACAGAGCACTTGCTTTGAATTAAAGTTCTTATCTAATCAAGAAAAGTGTTCACTGTCATTTCTGTGTTAAGATTCATACTCCTTTAGAGTAAAGCCCATTTACTTACCAGCAAGTCTATTTTTATTGAGTTGTGCTAAACATCAGAGCAATTTGATTTGGACTCTATGGGAAGTTGCTTTGGAATTTTAGAAACTATGGGCGTGTGAAGCAATGGTATTTAAATTGCCCTTCCGGAATAAAGTTCATCCTTCTTAGGCTCTCACTAAAAATGTTCGAACCACACCTGTCTCATGTTTCTGACTCTACTTTGGCTCATCTCAAATACACAGGCACAGGCCATCCGTCCCATTGAGCTGGACAGTCCCAACCATAGGGAGCAGCCCTCTCCAAAACTGGATCCATTGAAAGAGAAATGTCATTGCAACATCTTCTGCAAGTAGATTTTTCATCTATATGCATCCATCATGCATTTAGTTCTTTTATGCATCATGTTCTTTCATTCAGCCAATACTGAATGACACTAACTAGGTGCTGGGCACCATGCTAGGCACTGAGGAATAGTATGGTGGAGACAATGTGATTTATGAGGAAACAGGGATGGACAGAGGGACCAGCACACAGAGGGATAATGAGAGCACAGGCAGATCATCCAGTTCAGTTTTGAGAACATCTGTGAAGGCTCCTTTGAAGCAATGTTGTCGAACCTGAGACATGAGGGAGGAATGGGAGCTCACCAGACCAGAGGAGCTAAAAGAAACGTTCTAAGCCGAAACATCAAAGGCGAGGCACTCAATAAGTTCTGATGACTCAAGTTAAGTTAAATTCTCCTTCTGTAAAATCACAAGAAAGAAGACCAAACCCTGGGGCATCTAGGGTTGCATTTTATGACTCTATTATGTTAAACACCCATGTCATTATTTTTTCTATATTTTCTTGTAGAAATGCTTGAAATAAACATCATTTTTGACATAATAGTCACTGCAGCTGGAGATAAACTAAATCCTTGTAAACACCTATCCAATTGAAAATGTCATTCTTGGCTGGGCGTGGTGGCTCACGCCTGTAATCCCAGCATTTTGGGAGGCCGAGGCGGGTGGATCACCTGAGGTCAGGAGTTCAACACCAGCCTGGCCAACATGGCAAAACCCCATCTCTACTAAAAATGCAAAAATTAGCCGGGCATGGTGGTGGATGCTTGTAACCCCAGCTACTCAGGAGGCTGAGGCAGGAGAATCGCTTGAATCTGGGAGGCAGAGGTTACAGTGAGCCAAGATCGCACCATTGCACTCCAGCCTGGGCAACAGAGCAAGATTCTGTCTAAATAAATAAATAAATAAATTTTTAAAAAAGAAAATGTCATTCTTTCTCATGTATTTTCCAGATTAAGGATGCTCAACTGCAAAATGCTCGATGTGTCCTGCAAATTGATAATGCTAAACTGGCTGCTGAGGACTTCAGACTGAAGTAGGTTCCCTAATATGTGGCAAAAGTTTCTGAAAAAGAATTCCTTTAGTAGTCCTTCCAGATAATCAGCTTTCCATATCATTGTTGGTAAAGGAACCACGATTCAATGTTTCCAGAATCCTGAAGCCTAAAGGAGGTTAGAAACTACGTGTCAGAAGCTAGCCCAGCACTCAGGGATGACCTTCTCTCTCTTGATCCCCTGGCATATAACTGAACACCTCCAGTAACTACTATTCTCTTTTGTTATTACTGGTTGCTAAGTTTTTTTTTTTTTTTTAGTAACCTGGTATCTACCTTTTAACCCACTAAACCTAATTCTGCCCTTTGGAGTAATAAGAAAGCAATTTACAGTTCTCCTTCTCCCTAAGTGCCTTTCTGTTATCTAAAGAGAGTCTTAAGTCTACCCTTGGTGATTCTCCAAGTAATTCTCCATGTTCATTCAAGTACCTGCAAGTGTATGACCCAAGTTCCAGGGGTGACTCTTGATGATTTCTGGTTTGCCAGTGTTTTACAGGATGGTCTGGCCAACCAAAGAATCAGGACCAATCTATAATAATTAACCAGGTGTGGTGGCACATGTCTGTAATCCCAGCTACTTGGGAGGCTGAGGCAGGAGAATCACTTGAACTTGGGAGGCGGAGGTTTCAGTGAGCCGAGATCGTGACATTGCACTCCAGCCTGGGTGACAGAGTGAGACCTTGTCTCAAAAAGAAAGAAAAAATTGTGTTTACTTTCTCTGTAGTCATCACACCACATGTGACCAGAGCTGTTCCTTACAAACAGCTTCCACACTAGGGCATCTTCATCCTGAATTTGTACAATGCATGAACACCAAAAAGCCTTTTGTGGTTAGAAGAGGAGCCTTTTAATGCTCCAAGAGATTAACTAGAAGGAAATAGGAAATCAAATCCAAAGATTAAAGCAGTAAAGGTGCATTAGTTACAATTTTACCTAGCACTGAGTGTCCCATTGCATTGTCACTTTTTAAAGCTGGATATTTTAGGAAATTGGGCAGGGCGTGGTGGCTAATGCCTGTAATCCAGCACTTTGAGAGGCTGAGGCAGGCGGTTTGCTTGAGTCCTGGAGTTTGAGAACAGCTTGGGCAACATGGGGAACCATGTCTCTACACAAAAATACAAAAAAAGTAGCTGGGCGTGGTTGCATACACCTGTGGTCCCAGCTACTTGGGAGGCTGAGGTGAGAGGATTGCTTGAGCCCAGGAGGTTGAGGCTGCAGGGAGCCAAGATCGCACCACTGTATTCCAGCCTGGGTGACAGAGTGGTACTCTGTCTCAAATACACACACACACACACACACACACACATATATATAGTGAGAGAGACAGAGAGCGTATGTAAGATTGTAGAGGAGGATGTAGAGCTGTTTGAGGTAAGTCACTTTGGATGCCTCAGTTCACAAAGTTATAAAAATAAATTGATCATGTACATTCATTAAGTAAAAGTATTTAATATCAATAATGAGAACCCTTTGCCAACACAATAATTAACACAATTTAATTTCTTGTAAGATAAATTCTAGAATTTAGAAGTGCTCAAAATTATTTCAGATTGCCTTTTTCCAGTCACTCCAAATTATAGAGATTATATTATTGAGCAAATTGTCTGATTCCTAGGTTCTTATGTACATTTCATGAATGTATAAAGGCAGACATTATAAAGTATTGAAATTGATCTCCTCATAAGCCACATTTAAAAACCTATCTCATTATATTAGATTCTCTCTCTTATAATGGCCGCAGAAGGACCAGTTATCTCTGTATACTAATTAATTCCCAGGTATGAGACCGAGAGAGGAATACGCCTAACAGTGGAAGCTGATTTCCAAGGCCTGAATAAGGTCTTTGATGACCTAACCCTACATAAAACAGATTTGGAGATTCAAATTGAAGAACTGAATAAAGACCTAGCTCTCCTCAAAAAAGAGCATCAGGAGGTGAGAAAATATTCAGAAGTGGTATTGGAAACGATGGAATGGTTCTATATAATAATAATAATAGGAGGAGCAGGAGAAACAGGAGAAGGGGGAAGAGTTGGTGGTGGTAATGACAGAGATGATGATGATGACAATAGTGATACAAGCCCCGCCTTCTTTTCATAATGTTGTTGTAGGTTAAATGACTTAGAGCAGTACCTGGACCACAATAAGCCCAACACAAGTTATTATTTTATTTCTTTTTTACTCGTTGCCAATGAAAGAGGTCATGAGACTTCTTATGTCTTTTCTGCCCAACCTTATCTGAGAATGTGCTTCAGACTAAAATCAATCAGAATTTTCACTTTCATAGGAAGTCGATGGTCTATACAAGCATCTGGGCAACACTGTCAATGTGGAGGTTGATGCTGCTCCAGGCCTGAACCTTGGTGCCATCATGAATGAAATGAGGCAGAAGTATGAAGTCATGGCCCAGAAGAACCTTCAAGAGGCCAAAGAACAGTTTGAGAGACAGGTAACCGCACAATTGTAAAGTGTGAGCAAATGTGTAGAAGCTTTCCTCCAGAAAGATAACTCAGTTTCTTCTTCATTTGTTCATTCTTTCTTTCTCTTTCTGTCTTTTCTTTCTTATTTCCATTCCTCAACTGTTTGTTTTTTTTTTCACTCTCGGCACTTTGTAGACTGAAGTTCTGCAGCAACAGGTCATAGTGAACACTGAAGAATTAAAAGGAACTGAGGTTGAACTAACAGAGCTGAGACGCACCTCCCAGAGCCTCGAGATAGACCTCCAGTCCCATCTCAGCATGGTAAAGCACATCTAACTTCTCTTTCTCAATCCAGTATGTGTTTACCAAGGTCCTCTGTTAGGAACTTAGAAATGCAAAGACCTACAAAAAATAACCCTTCCCCTTGCAGAGCTGGCAGGGAAAGAGGCCGAACAACTGATTATAATCAAAGGACAGAGAGAAATCGAGGAAAGGGCAATGTACTGCATGAATGCAGAGGAAAGAGTAAATCTGGAAGATTTCACAGGGAAAGTGGCATTTAAACCAGATATTTTTATAACTTTTAAGTTCAGGGGTAATATGCAGATTTATTATATAGTTAAACTTGTGTCATGGGGGTTTGTTGTACAGGTTATTTCATCACTCAGGTATTAAGCCTAATACCCATTTGTTATTTTTCCTGATCCTCTCCCTCCTCCTACCCTCCAGCCTCTGTTAGGCCCCTGTGTCTGCTATTCCCCTGTATGTGTCCATTATACCAGATCTTAAAATTTAAGATACAATTTTAAGCTGAAGAATGAACTAGAGACATTCCAGGCCAAGCAAACCAGCCAGCCCATGACAAATTATGCTGTGGTAACCAGAATCCCTCAAACCACAGTGGCCTGCAGCCACAATACTACATCCATCATGACATTTCCTTTCCAAGGGCAAGGCTAAAGGGGTAGGCCCTACCTAGGACAAGCCAGTGTTCTGGCAGAAAGAAAAGAGCAATTGTTGGGTCACTTGATAGCTTTTAAAGCTTCTCCTTAGAAAAAGCATTTGTCCTTTGGGAGGCCAAGGCAGGAGGATCACTTGAGGTCAGGAGTTCGAGACCAGCCTGGCCAATATGGTGAAATTCCATCTCTACTAAAGATACAAAAATAAGTTGGGCATGATGGTGTGTGCCTATAATCACAGTTACTGGAGGCTGAGGCAGGAGAATCACTTGATCCCAGGAGGCAGAGGTTGCAGTGAGCCAAGATCACACTACTGCACTCCAGCCTGGGGGACAGAGCAAGACTCCGTCTCAAAAAAAAAAAAGAAAAAGAAAAGGCATTTGTCAGTTTGACCGGCATTTCATTAACCAAAGAGAGTCACATGACCCAGCCAGGAGTCAATGGATTAAAGGAATTAATCCTGCAATTGAGAAATGCCACAGATCACATGGCCAGGTCTGATGAAGGAGTGAGAGGTATAACATCTTCACATGGTGGGGAAGCAAATATTGAGAACAATTCTACAATGTGCTGCACTGAGAGAACAGTGGGTGCAAAGCTACAAGCAAAGAAAAACCCCAAGAGCTAATGATCCTAGCTGGCTGGCTGAGGTTGCCTAGTTGGGAAGAGTGGGAGATGGAGCTAGAAATACACACCATGCCCACAGTGATGAACTGCAGAGACCCTTCTCAAAATAAATTAAAATTGACCCATCTCTTGAATCAAGTCCTTAGACAAGAAATGCTCTATTTTTCTTGTGCTCATAGAAAGAGTCTTTGGAGCACACCCTAGAGGAGACAAAAGCCCGTTACAGCAGCCAGTTAGCCAACCTCCAGTCGCTGTTGAGCTCTCTGGAGGCCCAACTGATGCAGATTCGGAGTGACATGGAACGCCAGAACAATGAATACCATATCCTTCTTGACATAAAGACTCGGCTTGAGCAGGAAATTGCTACTTACCGCCGCCTTCTGGAAGGAGAAGACGTAAGGTAAGGCTCTTAGAATCAAGGAATAGGTGTCAATGTCTGTATGCACTTCTATTTTAATGTCCCTGTCACTCATTACCCAGCACCAATGCAATCCCTAGAACAGAAGTAATTATACTCACACGCGCCTCACCACCAACAACAAAACGAAAATATACCAAAAAGTAGACACATGCCCAAAATATCAAGTAGAGCCTTGAGATCATGTGATAGGACTGAGTTAGAAGATAATTCTCCAAATGATAGATTATGCTGATATTAATTTTCATCATTAATATATAATTGAAGGCATAATAGCATTTTGGAAATTCTAATTGAGAGCTCATGAATTAGACAATAAGTTGCTGAGGTCCACGGGAGCCAGAATCATCAGTGTGGCAGCAGCAACTGTCTTCAGATACCATACCTAAGAATATCAACAAGAGAACACAAGATTTAAACTTCCATTGTAATTTTGTTACTTTAATTAGAGGAACTTCTTAGCTTATATTAAACTGGTCAGTTTTAAAGCTATGTATTTTTCAAGTTAAAAAGTAAAACGCTCAAGTTTGCAATAACAAGCAATGTAAAAGGGAAAGATACATGAAAGCATTAAAACACATTCACTTGGACTTTGAAATATAAAAGACAAGAGTGCATTCCATTTTCAAAACAGCAATAATCCTTTTTTCTGTTTCTTTTTTCTTCTTTTCATTAAAAAAAAAACAAAACAGAACTACAGAATATCAGTTAAGCACCCTGGAAGAGAGAGGTAAGTTCTAAATTTTTGCACATTTTCTATGACACTCAGTTGCTTTCCAATAACTATCTCCCATGGATAAAAAGTAAAGTGAGGCTGTTTCAGTCTGTTTTCTGCTCCTGTAATGGAATACCTGAGACTGAATAATTTACAAACAATAGAAGTTTACTTGGCTCACAGTTCTGGAGACCAGAAAGTCCAGTATCAAGGTGCCAGCATCTGGTGAGGGCCTTCTTGCTGCGTCATCCCATGGCAGAAAGTAGAAGCGCAAAAGAGTGTGCATGAGAGCCAGAGAGAAAAAGAAGGCTGATCTTGCTTTTATAACTAGCCTACTCTCACAATAACTAACCCATTCCCATGGTAACCACATTAATCCATCCATGAGGGCAGAGCCCTCATCATCTAATCACCTCTTACTAGGCCCCACCTCCCAACACTGTTACATTGGGGATTAAATTTTCCACACATGAACTCTAGGGAACACATTCAAACCATAGCAAAGGCCAATTCTCAAAAGAGCAGATATGACACCAGGGATTCTAAAAATCTTGTACATGGCATAAAGAAACCCTCTATGTGGGAACTTGGGCACACTCCTCAGAACGGGGTGATTTTCTTGGCCTGTGCTATTGCTATCTTGAGACATCTGAGATCCTGAAAAGGAAAAACAAGACAAAATCTGAATTCTACTTAAATTCAAGATCATTTATTTCTTGAATTTATAAGAGTAGGATATTTGTAAATTTGGGGAGAAGCACATTTTCTGTATCTATTTATAAAATGGACTTAAGATTTTTTGAGAAAGAGGATGGGTTTAACATATTTTTCTAAAAGAAGGAAATAAGTAAAAAGAATAATAATTTAGAGTTGAATATTATAAATCAGTAGAGTCATGTGCCGGAATTAACATTTAATGTTTAATATGAATTCAGATATAAAGAAAACCAGGAAGATTAAGACAGTCGTGCAAGAAGTAGTGGATGGCAAGGTCGTGTCATCTGAAGTCAAAGAGGTGGAAGAAAATATCTAAATGGCTACCAGAAGGAGATGCTGCTGAGGTTTTGAAAGAAATGCGGCTATAATCTTATCTGCTCCCTGCAAGAAATCGGCCATAAGAAAGCACTATTAATACTTTGCAGTGATTAGAAGGGGTGGGGTGGGGGAAATCCTATTTATCAGACTTTGTAATTGAATATAAATATTTTACTCAGAGGAGCTGCAAATTGCCTGCAAAAATGAAATCCAATGAGCACTAGAATATTTAAAACATCATTACTGCCATCTTTATCATGAAGCACATCAATTACAAGCTATAGACCACCTAATATCAATTTGTAGGTAATGTTCCTGAAAATTGTAATACATTTCAATTATACTAAACCTCACAAAGTAGAGGAATCTATGCAAATTGCAAATAAACCGCTTTCTAATTTTTTCCTGTTTCTGAATTGTAAAACCCCCTTTGGGAGTCCCTGGTTTCTTATTGAGCCAATTTCTTGGTTAATCTCATTGATTTTTCAGCATCAGTACAACTCTACAACCTTTGAGCGATCTCTGCTTTTTCCCATTGTTTCTACTGCCTTTTAAAAGTCTACACAGCTCTTTGAATAATTTGAGAGTCAAATTCAATCACAAATGCAGAGCAGAATAAGAGTGAAGTACACTATACTTAAAATGGAAATAGATTAATAACATTATCCAAACCCTTCTCAAGGCAAAATGTGTCTCCTTTTGATAATAAGCTGCATATACTATCAGGTGCTCTCTTTTTTTATACATGGTGAATGTACATTTTTAATGAAATTTTTTTAAATAGCAGCTTTATTGAGACATAATTCACACACCATGAAATTCACCCTTACAACGTGTACAATTCAGTGGTCTTTGGTATGCTTATAATGTTTTGCAACCATCACCACTACCTAATTTTAGAACATTTCATCACCCCAAAAGGAAATCTTGTACCTATTAGTAGTCACTCCCCATTTCCCTTCCTCCCAGCCCCTAACAACCACTAATCTACTTCCTCTCTCTACGGATTTGCCTACTCTGGACATTTCATATAAATGGGATCATATGATGTGCCCTTTTATACACAAATGTTCATAGCAGCATTACTCATAAAAGTCCCAAAGCAAAACACCTCAAATGTCCATCAACTGATGAATGGATAAACAAAATGTAATATATCCACACAATAGAATCTCATTCGTCAATAAAAAGGAATGAAGTACTAACACATGCTATAACAGAGATGAACTTTGAAAATATGCTAAGTGAAAGAAGCCAAATCCAAAAAAAAGAAAAACACACATTGTAACCTCACCCTTTCTGCATTTTAGTGAGCAATCATTGCATATGAATGTGTATGGGAAAAATCAATGTGCGCTAAATCATTGCATTCTAGTAAATAGATTGGACTTAAAACTTGATACAGAAGTTGTAAATAAGTGGGAGTGAGTTTGATTATTATATAGAAAATACTTACATGATTCATTTAAGAATAATAATATCCACCATTTATTGAGCACTTACTATGAGCCTGTGTGCCAAACATTTCATGCATTTCTCATTTAATTTTCACAATAATCCTGTGAGGTAGAAGCTATTAGGTTGAATCATATGAACCTGCCAATATATGATAATTTCTAAGAGTTGGGAATTTTTGAGGATGTGGATGGTACCACTTTGAATTCCTAAGATTTAATATAATATCTAACATGCATCAGGCAGTTGATTCCTTATTTTGAACTGAAGGAATAAAGTTTTTTTAGAAGCTTTCCAATATATGCTAATTTCTGACTTTCAGAAATCGCAATTTTATATGCTATTATATAGCATATATAATAAGGTTCAACCTTATTATATTATCCCTGTTTTACATATGAGGATAAATGAGGACTCATATGAAGACACGAGATAAAGACTTTCCCAAAGTCATGCAGTTAGCAAGTAGTAGAACGAGACTGAACCTCAGGGCTGTTTCTCTAAAACCATGACACCCTCTTAAGCAACCAATTACATAACAAAGCAATACATGATTCACAGTTGAAATAGGCACTTGCCTATCCACAGTTATTTTGTTGTTTTCTAATTGTCATTTTCATCAGGCAGACACAACAGCCAATTGTGGCAAATGTCCAGCTTTGCTGGCTAACGTCACACATGACTTCATTCAGCACAACTTTTGTCAGGAAAGGTGTTTCCACCTATTTTCACTGCCTTCTTTTCCAAAGAGGTTTCACTCATTTTTTTCTTAATTTTCTTCCAAGTCACGCCAGCTAGTAAATTGCATTTAAAGATGTTAAGAATATTTAAAAGTGAATTCTTTTTCACCTACTCAGTCACATTCCAGAATGGTCTGAAACTTCGACTTGCAAATACCAGACTGAATCTGATTAATAAGAAACCTATGCAGATGGGTTTGTAACTGATTAGGCCTGACCACTGTCATATGGCAATGATGGCACTGTGTTAAAAGAGGTAGGGTTGTTATTCTTAATTTAGGATGGTCCTCTTTTAACTACCTGTTAAAAGAGTAGAATTGTTATTTTTAGATCAGAAAAATGAGGATTTTTTTTTCCTCTTGCTTCTTTGGTCTGTCTCTAGTTTCTTCCAAGCAATCTTTCAAAGAAGTGGGTGAGTGCTACATACATGTGGACCAGATGGTGGAGTTCTACCTCCAGTTCTGCCAGCAGTTACTGTGTGAAAGTGAAGCATTAACCTTTGTATCTATCTATATTTCTTACATGAGCTAAGAACCAGAATGACATAATCCTATTTCTGACAGGTGTACAAATCCAGAGAAGTCTTTATCAAAACACATTAGGATTATCATCAATGTATTTTTTCATTTTATATGAAATTGTCAGTGCAGAAGTGAAGCTATCAAACTCAGAGAGAGCCCCTAGAGATGAGGTAAGGGTGGAAACCACTATTTTATCTGAGCTCTGGAGATTATTTCTACCCAGAGTTCTGAATCATCTAAAAAGGAGAATGACATGGAGTGATACAAAATCAAAACACGGCCAGTGACCCCCTCAGACACTCTGTTCTCACCCATATGCATCAGGATCAGCCTCAGGTACCTGATTAGACCCCCAAGTAACAATTCCAACTTCAAGCATTAGTAGTGATTTCTATTTTTGAATTCTCCTTCCAACATCTCTGTTTTCTCTCCCCTAAGCTCATTTCCAAGATTCCTCCCATCACAGTATTATTTTATCATCTTCCTGTCTCCTACCACTTTCAAAATTCTCCCCTGCTTTCAAGAACCATTGCTCTCTGGAGCCCAGAAGTCAGTCTCACTCATGCCCCTTAGGATCCTTGTTTAACCTCATCTCAAAAGTACAACACATAAAATGTAAGCAACCCAAAATTGTCTCAGTCACTCACAGGATTTTATAATGTTATCCAAAGCGAAAGATAGTACAGACCGAGGGATCAACGAGTTGCAGAAAATGACAGTTCTATCTTACGGGAAAAAACTCAGGTAGAAAACGCTGCAAAGACCAGGACACGAACCAACCTGACATGAAAAGATGAGCGTATGATTTACTCAATAAAAATCTAAAGATGTGTAAAAACCGTATACCTAATATTCTCTATTTTGAATATTTCCTAAACTCTACAAAAACGGAAGACATAATTCTTCTGAACAGTTTGCCCTGGCTATAATCATTTTCCTCTCTGCCTCAACTTATGTAATCACTCTGCCAAGAAGTCCAAGATTGTTTGTTTTTTTTTTTAACATCCCCACTGGCTTATACATTAATGTGCTGTCAAAGAACATTATTTTCACTTCTAAAACCTCTAAAGCAGAGTCTTGATGATTTAATTTAGCCTCCCACTTCAAAAAAAAAAAGTCACTGAAGAAGAAATATTTCTCTTTTCAGCTTCTAAAGTTCCTCCCCATTCATAACCGAATTCAGAATAAATCTTGGTCAAAGCATACCAGTCAATTAGGGCACAGTCATTTTCAAATGAAATGAATTTTAAATGACACATTCAAACACATTAAGTCTTAACTTCTTTCAAATGAAATCATTTTAGGAGTGCAGTGATAAAGTCCAGCCAAACACCACACTAGGACTCAGGCTAAAAAATAGACGTAGTACCTACCTAAGAAGCTTAATCTAGGATAATATGTAATATGTATAGAAACATAAAATAATATATAAACATAATTTTTAGAGATTGAGCAATATTATTTAAATTTTACTGTAGGCATTAGAGTTGGAAAGTATATACCTTTCAGCACAAAATCAATTCCAACTTCAAAAATACAACTGAATCTTATTCTCATATTATGTGATCAAATCACTGAGGTACAACTTTGAATTTGGCACAGTTCCTTTGCTTCTGTTTTCATTTCGATGGCAGTAAAATGGAGTCTCTCTGTCTTGGGGGACACTTGGGACTGAATAATAGTTAACAACCATAACGTCAAGTTCTTGTGTGAGGAGTGCAAGTTTAACTTGTGCTTTAAAAGATCTCTGAAGATGTGGCTACAGGTCAAAGCTAAAACGAAAACCACATTTGCCTGTGTGTTTACAGAATTTCATGTGTCATGTTGTTGCTTATAAGCCATGAAAAGTCATTCTCTAGGTCTCAGCCCATACACTAAAAAATTCACAGAGAAACCTTAAAAGAAAAGAAAAGAAAAGAAAAAAAAAGAGCACCTCCTGGTGATGTGCAGGGCAGAAGCCTGGTGTCAGGTGTCATAGTTAGGGGATATCAGAGTATCCTCTGCCCTTTTGATTGTCACTGCCAGCAGCAAGGTTGTGGTATCTATAGAAGGCACTGCAGGTCCGAATCCTATCTCTGTCACCTCCCAGCTGCATGGGCTTAAATAAATCACTTAACAACTGGACTCTCAGACTGCTCATCAGTAAAATGGGATTACATCTCAAGCTGTAATCCCAGTGCTTTGGGAGGCCAAGGCAGAAGGATCACTTGAGGCCTAAAGTTCAAGACCAGCTTGGGCAATATAACAAGACCCCATCTCTACAAAAAATTCAAAATAAATTTTAAAAAAATAGCCAGTGTCGTGCTGCACGCCTGTAGTCCCAGCTACTTGGGAGGCTGAGGCAGGAGGATCGCTTAAGCTCAGGAGTTCAAGGTTTCAGAGCTATGGTCACACCACTGCACTCCAGCCTGAGTGAGGGCAACCAAGCAAGACCCTGTCTCAAACAAACAAACAAATAAAACCAGTACCACCTTAAGAGGTTACCATGAAGGTTAAAAAATAATGTCTGTAATTCACCTGGCCCAGTGTCCAAAAAGTAGTAAGTACATAATAACTGATAATTCAAACAAAGACAAGCTCAGTCAAAATGCTTATAATATAGATATAAGGAATCCTTGGTAAAAACCTCCATATGGGGCTAAAATCACTGGCATTTCCACTGAACAGATTTTCATTCTCTCAAGAAATCAAACAAATGGA